CCGTGGTGTCCGACTGGCGCAACGCGTGCTAATTTGAGCAGAGGTTGCACGTCCTCGCCCCAGAGCTGAATTTGGCCTCTGTTCCTCAGTTCCTGGTTATTTGAACTCGGCTTCCCTGGCCCGGCGATGGGGCTAATAACCAGCCTCAAAGGATTAATTGGGGTGTGCGAAATGGTTCAGATATGAGGAGTGCTGCTCATTGCAGCGGCTGAGCATTAATCATGGTTTCTCTTCAGATTCCTCCCTGCTTACTCCGTTCCGCTGAGCGCTGGTGTTCGGATTTTCAGGGGGGTTTCAAGTCTCAAAATCTGCTCTTCTGCTGCATTTTGGAGTGAAATGTGCCCTCCTGGGGAGCAGCACCTGGAGTATCGGGGCTTTGCTCAGTGCCCGCCTCTGCCCCCCGCTTGCTGGGTAACTTGGGGCACTGAGTGACTTGGGGGGAGTTACTTAACTGCCGCTGCCTCTCCCTGCGCGTCCGGGGAGGACGGCGGTGAGGAAGGCGCTTTGCAATCCTCTGGCGAGGATTTTGTGCTGCGTAAGCAGAAATCCCGCCCGACGGCCGCCCCCAGGCCTGCGTGGCAGGGGCTGCGCCCCACCGTCCCCAAGCCTTCAGCCGGCGGCTGCTGCCCTCGTCCCCGCGTGGCTGCTGCCTCCGTCCCTATTTACCAGCGCTGCTCGGCAAATTGAGTTTCTTAATGCCTCCCCCCCCCCTTTCTTTGTGAACCCTGAACTTGAAAGACAGGAAAAGCCTGTGCTCGGGGCTGCTGCTGCAATCCTGCCTTGCAAGCGCAAAACCTGGCACCGGCGCCAGGTTGGGGCACGTGGCATGATGCCATGCCGGGGTCCTGCTGACCACATGGGGGTTTTTCGGAGCCGTGGGTCCCCAGCCACGTGGAGGCCTCCAGTCTTGCCGCCGCTGCGCTTTTAACCTTGACGTGTATCACGCGCTGTGCCTGGCCGGGAGCTCTGACACCCGTTTCTCATGCCATGGGGGGACTGCTGGGTGATGTGTAGTGTCCTAAACCCCCCTGGGGCTGGCAGTGCTGCCCGGGTGCCGTCATCAGCAGCATCAAATGCCAAGGAACCAGCGCCAGGCGTTATTTAGGGCTCAGGGACCGTGGTCTTCAGGGGTTTGACATTGCAAATCTGGCAAGGGAAACGAGGTGACAGCTCTCGGTTTGGGGTCAGAGCATGGGGGCTGGCTCGTGTGCCCCCTGCGGGGTGTGGGTGGCTGCTGGGGTGTGGGTGGGTGCTGCATGACCGGCTCCCGGGAGCACTCGGAGCCGGCACGGGGCCTCTCCCAGGTTCGTGCGGAGCCACTTGCTGGGAGAAAACATGTAGGGATGGGGGGGGTCGTGCTGGGAAGCCACCGAGCCCTGGGGATGGTCTTTTATTCTCATTAAAGGGGAAAAAAACCAAAAGACTAGGTTTCAAGTCGGTGCCGTCCCATTAATAAGCCAAGTTTGTCTTCAGCAGGCAGCAAGACCTGATTTAAAAAGGAATGGAGATAGATGACCTATTTTAAGCTCTCAAGTTGGAAAATATCGACCTGGCTGCCTCTAGGCCGTGAGCGGCGGGGCCGGCTGCGCGAGCTGTGCCGGGCAATGCTGCGCTGCCTGCTCCCAAAACCCGTCCGGCTTTCCAGGAGCTGGCCTGGCTTGGGATGCCCCAGGTTGCAAACCAGGGTGGCTGCTTTAAACCTGCCGCCTACCTCCTGGCCACATCCCAAACATCTCCAGCGCTGGCTCAGAGCACCCGAAGCAGCTGACTCCTTTTCCACGGCTGCTTATCCCCAGGATTTCATTAAGTCTTCCCTAATTGCCTTCTCGGGCCGCGCCGCAGCGAGCACACCTCCGCCGCCGTGGCTGCGTGTCGCAAGACC